TAAGGAATTACCATTCATAACTGCTCATATGCCAGACCTGATGTTCAATTTAGAGAGGAGGGAGAGCAGAAAAAGGACCTGCGCCAATGTTGAGGAAGTCATGTCAGGAGAAACAGCAAAGGGACACACTGATCCATTCCCTTACCATCCCTTCTGTTGGCTAGGGAAAACTCAACTCTACTGACACACTGTGGTGGAGGAGCAGATACATCCACAGACTCAGGGTGTCAAGTGAATGGCAAGCAAATTCTTTCTTTGGAGCAACATGTAGTCACTTTTGTGGAATGGCCTTAGGTACTAGCCCAAGCATGCCTATACACACACACATGCTCACACCAACATAATCACAGGATCAAAACAGAAGAAACAGTTTAAAAATGGCTATACTGTTCCATTGTTTTTAGTGGGACTGAGGCCACATGCTTCCCACAGTTAAGATGACTGCTATTTCTCTACCCCCTGTGCAGCAAGAAGTTTAGTAAAGATGGTCATTACCTCCAATCTTCCCAACAAATGAATGAATCCAAACTGCCCTTAAGGAAGAGTGTGGCACCAAATGCTGTCAGGATTCAGAAAAGAGCACTGCCAGGAGCAGCTAAATATGGTATAGGTGTGACAGGGAAGGTAAGAGGGTGAAAATGTGCTAGGGAATGTGGCATGCATGTATATACAGGAGATCATAGAGGGACGCAGGAGAGAGTCTGGATGAACAGGAAGAATGTAGGGAGAATGTGTGGGGTAGGAGACTAAGACATAAAACTCCTTGCATTGGGACAATTTGAAACCACTGTGCCTTTAGCTAAAATACAATTGGAATGGGAAGGTTTAAAAGGTATTTTAAATGTTAGGATATTGGATACCATTCCAGCAGATGTGTTGGTTGGTAATGATATACTGTCTGTGTCCAAAGCTGAAAATATAATAACTTGTAGTAATACGGAATATAGCTCAATGGTATACCAGCCGAGGTGGGGAGACAACATTTCCAGCTCCTGCTCAGCAGAAAATGGCAGCGTGTCTCTTGGAGCATGTGGGGTGGGAAAGCGGGGGGGGGGGGGTGTCACCTTATGTACCTCAGACAACTCTTTGTGCTGGCAGAAGCCAAGAATTTATAGCAGAAAAGAGAGCACGCCCCTCCCTAGAAAGCATATGGGAAATCATCCTCAGTGGGACCCCATCTAAGGAAAACGGGAAGGTTTTTTGCAGAAGAGGGAAAACTATAGAGAGACCCCTTTGGGGAATAACAAAAGTCCTGCGGAAGCTTATAAACAACTGATTGTGCCTCCTATCATGGGAAGTTAATGTTGTCAGTCCATGACTGCCCTAGTGCAGGTCACTCAGATTTCAGAGAGGACACATGAGAAGTTAAAGAAGAATTTTTATTGACCAAATATTCAGACTGAGGTCACAGACCACTGTAGGTTTTGTAACTTATGCCTGAAGCACAAGAGGGCTCCACAAGGCTCCCCTACACTGCTTACCTGTAATGGGAGGTATTTTTTTAGGCTGGCTGTGGATATTGTTGGCCCTATGCCCTGGCCAACCCAGAGGGGAAAGAAATATATTTTGGTAGCAGTGGACTTCGCCACTAGATACCCAGAGGCAGTTGCTCTGTCTAATAGAGGCTGACACAACAGCTAAAGCTTTGCTCTCTATATTCAGCCGAGGAGTTTTCCCAAAGGATACTGTATCATATTGGGGGTCAAATTTCATGTCCCAGTTATTTAGTGAATTATAGTGAATATGTGGGGTACAACAGCTGAGATCTGCCCCATAGCACCCAGAAACAAATGGATTAGTTGAAAGGCTCAACAGAAGTCTAAGGTCTATGCTGGGAATGAATGTAAACACAAGGGAAAGTAACTGGAATGAAATGCTACCCCCTATGCTATTTGCTTGTAGGGAGGCACCCCAAGAGTCCACAGGCTTTGCCCCATTTAATCTTCTGTATGGGAGAAAGGTCACAGGTCATCAGGATCTCACTAGGGATTCTTGGGAGGATGGCTCTGAAGCAGAGGGGGAACCAGTGACTAAACATGTACAGCAGTTCAGAAAGGAGTTAAGGGACATGATGGAAGTAGTTCAAATGAACCTCACTAAAAGCCATGCTACACAGAAGGCATAGTATGGCCACAATGCTTGTGAATGCTTGTTAGAGTGGGGTCTTGGTGATGTTACTCACTGTAAAAAGGTACAAAATGCGAAACTCATAGAGGGACCTTCTGAGATTGTGGAAAGGATTAATGAGGTCCCTTGCAACATAAAGACCCCACAGCAAGGTTGCTTCACAGATTCTGCATGCTAATAGATTTAAAGTCTATCACAATGCAGAAGCCATTATGAACATGTTGTGCTGAGGAGGATTCTGAGACAATAAATCTCATCAATTTGATAGCTGAATGCCATGGTGACACATCACTAGAGAACACTGAGGTATATAAAGAGTTAAAACAAACTGAAAGGGCAGAAATTTTGACTGTGCTGCAAACTCATAAGCAGGTGTTCTCTAGCATACCAGGTCTGACTCATAGGATGGTCCATCAGATTGACACTGTGGTAATCTGATTTTGGATATACCAATTCCAGAGCTTAATGCTCTCTTTTTATGTAGTATACAGTGGTCACATTGTCCAACATGATCTAAACATGCTGTGCACAGAGGCAGGCTTTTTGTAGGCATTTTGTACTACTGGCGTTTGAGGGATTAAATGTGTAAATTTGACTCCTGTTGGGATCATGAACCTTGAGCCACATAATCATCCAGATGTACTCCTCAGCTCAATAGAGAGGTTGTGTTGCAACAAAAGTGGACTTTTCTAGGTTTGCTTGAAGTCCTAAGGATTGAAGGAGGTTATATAGAGAGGACCACTGATTGTACCTTTTGGTATGATAAACCAGTAGCAGACAGTCATCTAGGTAAGGAAATACAGGGTTGCTCTGGTGGCATAGTGTGCTGCTACCACGGACAACACCTTTGTGAAAATTCTGGGAGTTGTCAAGAGGCTGAAGGGAAGAACTTTGTACTGATAATGATCCAGGCCCACCATGAAGCACAGGAATATCTTGTGTGTTGGATGAATGTCTATATGGAAATAGGCATTTTTCAAATCAAGAGCTGCAAACTGGTTGCCTTTATTTAGTGAGGGGATTTTAGAGGTCAGGGTGGTTCATCCTGAATCCTGAATAGCATATGAAGACATTCAGTTGTCTGAGATCCAGGATGGGTCTCCAGCTTCCCTTCTTTTTTTTTAGGAAAGAGGAAATCTGAAACTGAAGGCATACACCAGAGGAGTGTTGATACACCTCCAGTCACACTGGCAACATGTGAAAAATAGAAATGGTTGTGATTTTCAGGAGCACTGAGTGCCTGTAACACCAATTTAACAGGAATTGCGGGCACTCATCAGCTTTGAAAATTGCAATGTTGACATGAGAGGCATATATTTAAACATTGAATGTTTGTTAACCATAGTTCTATCAAATTTATGCATAACTCTATTCACTGTGAATGCTGTTTTTTCTTTTATGAGCTGCAGCACTTTTTACAGAAGAAGGTTTTCACATTTGTCCTTTTACTAAAAACTATTGTTCCAGAAAATAAATTAAGACTTAGTATACTTCTTAGTATACTTATTATTACCCCTCCCATTTTACAGCTGGGAAAATTACTCAGAGACAGATTAACTGACTTTCTTGTGATCACGTTGGAAATTTATGGCCGAATTAGGGAGCAAACCCATATCTCCCAGTTCTAGTTTTACTGCCTTTTGAAATCAGTGGGAATGCAGCACTTTGCCTAACAGAATTGGACCTTCTATAACAGAGGTGGGCAAACTATGGCCGGGGGCCACATCCGGCCCGTGGGACCGTCATGCCCAGCCCTTGAGCTCCCGGCTGGGAAGACTAGCCCCCCGGCCCTTCCCATGCTGTTCCCCCTCCCCTTCAGCCTCAGGTCACCGTGCCGCCCTCACTCTGGCTGGCGGGGCTGCGAGCTCCTACTCGGCAGCACGGCGGCGTGGCTGCCAGACATTCTGCTTTGAGCGGCATGGTAAGGGAGCGGGGAGGTTGGATAAGGGGCGGGGGGTCCCGGGGGGTAGTCAGGGAACAGTTGGATGAGGTGGGGGTTCGGGCGCAGTCTAGGGATGGGAAACGCGATCAGGGGGGGAGGAGGGGTTGGATAGGCGTGGAAGTCCCGGGGGGCCTGTCAGGGGGTGGGGTGTGGTTAGGGAGTGGGGAGTCCCGGGAGGTGGTGGTCAGGGGACAAGGAGCAGGGGGGGTTGGATGGGTGGGGGGCTTGTGAGGGGGGCAGTCATGGGCGGGTTGTGAGGGGGGCAGTCATGGGGCGGGAAGTGGGAGGGGGAAGAGGCCAGGCTGTTTGGGGAGGCACAGCCTTCCCTACCCCGCCCTCTATACAGTTTTGGAACCCTGATGTGGCCCTCAGGCCAAAGAATTTGTCCACCCCTGTTCTATAAGTTCTGCGTCTTTTATTTTATATATATTAAAGTCATATGACAGCTATACCTGTATCTAAGCCATTACAATATTCAGGTGTTTCTAGATAATGCAATGTATTGCTACATCACAAAAGCACAGAAGAAATGCGGTAACATTATTTTAAATCTATCTTTAAAACACAAGATGCTAAGCTGAAGGATGCCTATTTGGAATGTCTTAAATTGGGTTTTATTCTCTTGGCTCACTCAAAAAGTTTATGAATTATTTTTATTTGCTAGTAATTACTGAAAGATAAATTCAGCATCTAAATAATGTTGAAGACCCTACTGTATGTCAGAGGAAAATATAATACATGAGGTAAAATTTCATCTAGAAATCAATTTGCTACTGATGCAAAACAACTGCAACAGGATGCAATTTTCAAAATCATTCAAGACACTTCAATCCATTTTGCTCATTAAGTGTCCACTAACTCATTAACTTTTTTTGTGCATACTAACCCATGTACAACAAATTATGGAAAGAAGCAATTATAATATTCCTACCTGGATAAGATGGGCTGGCACTGTGATTATGCAGGCTGACAAAGACATTCTGAGGAGACCACGGAGAACATACAGAAACTTTGTGAGGCTATGAATATCTTCCGGATTATCAGCGCAACAAACGTCATCTCCCCACAACACTGAACCAAGGCTCTGAATTCCTATCCGCAGAATATTTTTTTGTTTTTTCTAGAGAAGATGAAAAAAAAAATAGAATGACTAATTTTTATTTCTCACATTAAGAGGAAAAACACCTTGCATCAAATGGATAGGTAATTTTTAGAACTTCTGTAATTTATATTATGTATGCCCATAGTAACTAAATACTTTGAAGTAAGCATGTGATAGCATAAGAGAGCCCAGAGAGGGAAAAAAAAATTATAGTAGTACCAATTTTTGCATCAATGGCAAATTTGCATCAGTAATGACAGACAGATAAAAAGTGACAAGTGCTTATATACAAATGATAGAAGTCTAAATAATAAGATGGATGAACTAGAGTGTCTCGTATTAAATGAGGATATTGATATCATAGGCATCACAGAAACTTCGTGGAATGAGGATAATCAATGGGATACAGTAATACCAGGGTAAAAAAATATATCAGAAGGACAGAATAGGTCAGGCTGGTAGGGGAGTGGCATTATATGTGAAACAAAGCAGAGTCAAATGAAGTAAAAACCGTAAATGAATCAAACTGTACCATAGAATCTCTATGGATAGTATTTCCATGCTTGAATAATAAGAATATAGCAGTAGGGATATACTACCGACCACCTGACCAGGATGGTGATAGTAACTGTGAAATGCTCATGGAGATTAGAGAGGCTACAAAAATAAAAAACTCAGTAATAATGGGGGATTTCAGCTATCCCCATGTTGACTGGGTACATGTCACCTCAGGACGGGATGCAGAGATAAAGTTTCTTGACACCTTAAATGACTGCTTCTTGGAGCAGCTAGTCCTGGAACCCACCAGAGAGGAGAGCCAATTCTTGTTTTAGTCCAAGTGGAGCACAGGATCTGGTCCAAGAGGTGAATATAGCTGGACCGCTTGGTAATAGTGACCATAATATAAACAAACATCCCTGTGACAGGGAAAACATCACAGCAGCCCAACACAGTAGCATTTCATTTCAGAAAGGGGAACTACACAAAAATGAGGAAGTTAGTTAAACAGAAATTAAAAGTGACAGTGCCAAAAGCACAAGATCAAATCCGCACAGACACACCCCTGGAACCCCGACCTGGGATATTCTATCTACTACCCAAGATCCATAAACCTGGAAATCCTGGGCGCCCCATCATCTCAGGCATTGGCACCCTGACAGCAGGATTGTCTGGCTATGTAGACTCCCTCCTCAGGCCCTACGCTACCAGCACTCCCAGCTACCTTCGAGACACCACTGACTTCCTGAGGAAACTTCAATCCATCGGTGATCTTCCTGATAACACCATTCTGGCTACTATGGATGTAGAATCCCTCTACACCAACATTCCACACAAAGATGGACTACAAGCCGTCAAGAACACTATCCCCGATAATGTCACGGCTAACCTGGTGGCTGAACTTTGTGACTTTGTCCTTACCCATAACTATTTCACATTTGGGGACAATGTATACCTTCAGATCAGCGACACTGCTATGGGTACCCGCATGGCCCCACAGTATGCCAACATTTTTATGGCTGATTTAGAACAACGCTTCCTCAGCTCTCGTCCCCTAAAGCCCCTACTCTACTTGCGCTATATTGATGACATCTTCATCATCTGGACCCATGGAAAAGAAGCCCTTGAGGAATTCCACCATGATTTCAACAATTTCCATCCCACCACCAACCTCAGCCTGGTCCAGTCCACACAAGAGATCCACTTCCTGGACACTACAGTGCTAATAAACAATGGCCACATAAACACCACCCTATACCGGAAACCTGCTGATCGCTATTCCTACCTGCATGCCTCCAGCTTTCACCCTGACCACACCACACGATCCATCGTCTACAGCCAAGCTCTGCGATACAACCGCATTTGCTCCAACCCCTCAGACAGAGACAAACACCTACAAGATCTCTGTCAAGCTTTCTTACAACTACAATACCCACCTGCAGAAGTAAAGAAACAGACTGATAGAGCCAGAAGAGTTCCCAGAAGTTACCTACTACAGGACAGGCCTAACAAAGAAAATAACAGAACGCCACTAGCCGTCACCTTCAGCCCCCAACTAAAATCCCTCCAACGCATTATTAAGGATCTACAACCTATCCTAAAGGATGACCCAACACTCTCACAAGTCTTGGGAGACAGGCCAGTCCTTGCCTACAGACAGCCCCGCAACCTGAAGCAAATACTCACCAACAACCACATACCACACAACAGAACCACTAACCCAGGAACTTATCCTTGCAACAAAGCCCGTTGCCAATTGTGCCCACATATCTATTCAGGGGACACCATCACAGGGCCTAATAACATCAGCCACACTATCAGAGGCTCGTTCACCTGCACATCCACCAATGTGATATATGCCATCATGTGCCAGCAATGCCCCTCTGCCATGTACATTGGTCAAACTGGACAGTCTCTACGTAAAAGAATAAATGGACACAAATCAGATGTCAAGAATTATAACATTCATAAACCAGTCGGAGAACACTTCAATCTCTCTGGTCACGCAATCACAGACATGAAGGTCGCTATCTTAAAACAAAAAAACTTCAAATCCAGACTCCAGCGAGAAACTGCTGAATTGGAATTCATTTGCAAATTGGATACTATTAATTTAGGCTTAAATAGAGACTGGGAGTGGCTAAGTCATTATGCAAGGTAGCCTGTTTCCTCTTGTTTTTTCCTACCCCCCCCCCCGAAGTTCTGGTTTAACTTGGATTTAAACTTGGAGAGTGGTCAGTTTAGATGAGCTATTACCAGCAGGAGAGTGAGTTTGTGTGTGTATGGGGGGGGGGGGGGGGGAATGTGAGAAAACCTGGATTTGTGCAGGAAATAGCCCGACTTGATTATGTAAAGAGTTGTCACTTTGGATGGGCTAGCACCAGCAGGAGAGTGAATTTGTGTGGGGGGGTGGAGGGTGAGAAAACCTGGATTTGTGCTGAAAATGGCCCACCTGATGATCACTTTAGATAAGCTATTACCAGCAGGACAGTGGGGTGGGAGGAGGTATTGTTTCATATTCTCTGTGTATATATAAAGTCTGCTGCAGTTTCCACGGTATGCAACCGATGAAGTGAGCTGTAGCTCACGAAAGCTCATGCTCAAATAAATTGGTTAGTCTCTAAGGTGCCACAAGTACTCCTTTTCTTTTAGTGCCAAAAATGAAATCCCTGCAAGCTGCATGGAAACTTTTTAAAGACACCATAATAGAGGCTCAACTTAACCATATTAAAAAACATAGTAAGAGAACCAAAAAAGCACCACTGTGGCTAAATAACAAAGTAAAAGAAGCAGTGAGAAGCAAAAAGGTATCCCTTAAAAAGTGGAAGTTAAATCCTAGTGAGGAAAATAAAAAGGAGCATAAATTCTGGCAAATGAAGTATAAAAATATAATTAAAAAAACCAAAAAAGAATTTGAAGAACACCTAGCCAAAGACCTGAAAAAGTAATAGCAAAAAAAAAAAAATTAAGTACATCAGAAGCAGAAAGCCTGCTAAACAACCAGAGGGGCAACTGAATGATCGAGATATTAAAGGAGCACTTAAGGATGATAAGGCCATTGTGGAGAAACTTTTTTTGTTTCAGTCTTCACAGCTGAAGATGTGAGGGAATTCCCAAACCTGAGCCATTCTTTTTAGGTGACAAAATCTGAGGAACTGTCCAAGATTGAGGTGTCATTAGAGGAGGTTTTGGAACAAATTGATAAATTAAACAGCAATAAGCCACCAGGACCAAATGGTATATCACCCAAGAGTTCTGAAGGAACTCAAACGGGAAATTGCATAACTACTAACTGTGGTTTGTAACCTATCATTTAAATCACCTTCTGTACCAAATGACTGGAGGATAGCTAATGTGATGCCAATTTTTAAAAAGGACTCCAGAGGTGATCCCAGCATTTACAGGCCAGTAAGTCTGACATCAGTAGCAGGCAAACTGGTTGAAACTACAGTAAAGAACAGAATTGTCAGACACATAGATGAACATAATTTGTTGGAGAAGAGTCAACATGGTTTTTGAAAAGGGAAATCATGCCTGAACAATCTACTAGAATTCTTTGAGAGGGTCAACACACATGTGGACAAAGGGGATCCGGCGGATATAGTGTACTTAGATTTTCAGAAAGCCTTTGACAAGGTCCCTCACCAAAGGCTCTTAAGCAAAGTAAGCTGTGATGGGATAAGAGGGAAGGTCCTCTCATGGACTGGCAACTAGCTAAAAGATAGGAAACAAAGGGTAGGAATAAATGGTCAGTTTTCAGGATGGAGAAAGGTTAATAGTGGTGTCCCCCAGGGATCTGTACTGGGAACAGTCCTATTCAACATATTCATAAATGATCTGGAAAAAAGGGGTAAACAGTGAGGTGGCCACATTTGCAGATGATCTAAAACTACTCAAGATAGTTAAGTCCAAAGCAGACTGCAAAAAGCTACAAAGGGAGCTCACAAAACTGGGTGACTGGGCAACAAAATGGCAGATGAAATTTAATGTTGATACATGCAAAATAATGCACATTGGAAAACATAATCCCAACTATACATATAAAATGATGGGGTCTAAATTAGCTGTTACCACTCGAGAGATCTTGGCATCATTGTTAGTTCTCTGAAACACCCACTCAATGTGCAGCGGCAGTCAAAAAAGTTAGCAGAATGTTGGGAATCATGAAGAAACGGATAGATAATAAGCCAGAAAATACCATATTGCCTCTATATAAATCCATTGTATGCTCACATCTTGAATATTGCACGCAGATGTGGTCGCCCCATTTCAAAAAAGATATATTGGAATTGGAAAAGGTTCAGAAAAGGGCAACAAAAATGGTTAGGGGTATGGCACAGCTTCCATATGAGGAAAGATTAATAAAATTGGGACGTTTCGGGTTGGAAAAGAGACGAGTAAGGGGGGATATGACAGAGGTCTATAAAATCATGACAGGTGTGGAGAAAGTAAATAAGGAAGTGCTATTTACTCCTCATAACAGAAAAATTAGGGGTCACCAAATCAAATTAATAAGCAGC